TTTTTTAGAATACCGTTCCACCATTGGTGGCTGCGCTTTCAGCCACGGAAACTTTGGAATACTCTTCGTCTATCCCTCCGCCTTGCTGTTCCCTTCCCCATCTTCAGGTCAAGTCTGAAGTCCTTCCTAATCGACCATATCTACGGTCACTTCCCCCTGGCTTGGGATTGTGCTCCGCCATTGTCAAACGCTCTGGGGCACTACCCTGCATGAGGGGCACTATATAAATGCAACTTGTTGTTGTTGATGATGTAACTTAACATTAAAAAGTTCAAAGGCTGTTGCAAGGGCTTCATGGCCAACCATGAAGTAGAACAAGCATTGATAATAATAATCCTTGCATTTGATATAGCGCCCTATCAAATCGTCGAAACGTCTCAAAGCGCTTCACAGATTTTACTATCAAGTGAATTGACTGTATATTTTGTGGGCGAAACGTGGCAGCCAATTGCACAGAGCAATGTCCCATAAACAGTCAGGGATTTAGTGGCCAAATTACCATTATTAATTTTGGGGGGAAGGGATTATTACTCCTGGAAAGCAATCTGCCAATCAAACATTATAATGGAAATAAAAATATTAGTTACTGTGAGGGGAAGATAGCAGCAGTAATCAGTAATGTCACCTGCAATTCATCAATATTCGAAACTCTTGCTTAAGATGATGGTCTGTGCACATTCCAAATCACATCATCAGAATAAAACACGTCAAACGGGAAAGACAGTTGAGTCCATTCCTTGCACAGACCATGTACATAGGTACACAATTATGGACTCTGTCCAACTTGCGCAATCTCCCAATGAGAAATAAATAAATACCACCCCGCTAACATTTTTAAAATAAAGCTCGACTTATTTCATCATTATTAATCTGCAGATTCGACATTTCTGTTTCTGCCAGCGCACGATTACATTCCAATGACAATTTAATCCTTTCTGTCAATATGTCAATTCTTACCCTCCATACCGTTCACCCTCACTCTTAACGAGGAAGTGATTCAAACACAAAAAGTTATAATCAACACAATCGCTTTGATTTGCATTACTTCGCCTGTGGTTATTTAGAAGTATTGATATACTTTGGCAGAGTGAAATGTGAGGCAAGTTTCTTTGCTCCACACGCCTCTGTTTACCTACTGGTTGTTAGTCGATTGGCGGTCGCTTTCCAGGGCTAATAAGTCCTTCAAAAAGTAAAATAATAATAATTTGGTCACTCAATCCACGATTGTTTGTGGGACACTGCTGTGCACATTTGGCTACCACGTTTCGCCCACGAAATATAGTCAATTCAATTTATAGTATATTCTGTGAAGCGTTTTGAGACGTCTCAAAGACTTGATAAGGCGCTATATCAAATGCAAGGATTATTATTATATACGCATAAATTTATCAATACGCTATAATAATAATCCTTGCATTTGATATAGTACTTTTCACGTCTTCTAGACTTCTCAAGTGAATTGACTGTATATTGTGTGGGCGAACGCGGCAGCCAATTGCACACAGCAGTGTCCCACAAACAGTCGTGGATTGAAAATGACCAATTTATTATTGTGTTTTGTTTTGGAGGGATTATTATTAGGCTCTGTGTGGAGTAAGGAAACTTGCCCAAGGTTTCGCCCTACCGGGAATTGAACCCAGGTGTCTCGCTTGCAAGGCAAGTGCTCTAACCACTGAGCTACAGGACTCTGCATTGTGTTCATTGTACAAGTCCTACCTCTTAAAACATTGGCTTACAGGGTTGAGGCTATGTCTATACCTCACTCGTAAACAGTGCCCTGGATTACTGCACACCTATCGAGCTATGATAATTAGGTAAGGTATCTTCACCTCAACTGCTCAGAGATCCACTTTACACCCCACACCCCAAGATATTTTTCGACAATTTTAGAAATATTATCATTTGACATTGTAAAGTACACCCATCAAGATTCAGAACCAGAACCTTCTAATCTCAGATCCGATGCTGAAGCAAATGATAAGGTGATTTGTTTCCCTTCAGGTGAATACAAATGTTGGATAGAGATAACTATTATGAATTGTTTCTAAATGGCTCATTGAAGGAATGGGTTGAATAGTCATTTTCTCATTCTAATCTCTACTCTTTATTAATGTTTAACTCATACTCTCTACTTCTCTGCCCTGCTCACACTGAAACCTATATTACCTCTGCGTTTTTACAAAACCTCTCACTTCTCCAGTAAAATAAGGTTAACATTTGTACAGCTTTCTTTGTAACTAAGAACATAACTAAGCCTGTGTTCTGATATGACTCGACCACTTTTAAGAGCTATTGCCTCTTAGCAGTAATATACCCAATTGGGAAGAAAGGAGGGGGGTAGGTATGAGCAGAGAAACAAATTAATATCTCTCACACACACAACATAAATTGGAGTCACTAGCAGATACAGCAGTTGATCCCCAGTGTATTTACATAGCAGCTAATTCCCACAGCTTGCTCAGAGAGAAAGATGCGGCAGCAGATTTGTAAAATGCATTGCCTAGTATAAGCAATCTAGAATTTTAGGTTGCCTGAGCTGACCAAAGTGTTGACCAGAGGAAAATCACAAAGGTTCATAAACCTGTTTTCTTCAGAAAAAATGCAGCTGTGAACCGTGAAAGCATGTGTACAGAACACAAAGTTAACATCATCGCTGATAAGACATTGTTGTTGGTTTCAAAATGGACTTACTCAGACATTTTCAGACTTGTTTTAAACAAACTGCTGGTATCTTGATAAAGGCGAGGAGATGTTGATGATTATTGGATATTGGTAACAGGAGGAAACAGTTAACAAAAGGATGATTTTATAGAGCTGATGGCCTTTACAAGGTCAATGTGCTTGAAGGAAAGGCACAGAGCTGAGTTTGAAAAGGAGCAGAGCTGAGTTTTGGAAATGGAGTACCAGTGAATAATATCGAGAAAAAGAGGGATAGACTACAATCAACATGGATTAACAAGGCAAGTCCTCATCAAAGCCACTTATTTAGTCTGATCAATTCATTGCAGTGAACTTTACTAACCTGTCATAAGCATTAATTTGATAAACATATAAGCTTTGATATGCATTACTTAACTAATTTGTATTAATAAGTATTAGTTGATTGAAGAATTTGTATCGGTTCTTACCGGTCATGAATTTATTTAATCCTTACACTACTGTGCATCTCCATGAATAGGACATTTAAAAGGAGCAAGCTTTTTTAAATGCGATATTGACTAGGAAATACTGCACTCTTACCTGCTGTCTTTCCTAGGTTCTGATTTTAACAAAAGTTAAGAAAATATAAGAAGTATTATTAGACAGGGATCAAAGGTATCGTTCCTCAAAGGTTGGCAAACTCACAATGGGGTTCAGACCATATATAGGATCATAAGAACAGGTCAATCAGCCTCTCAAGCCTGTTCCACCATTATATCAGCTGGCTGATCTGTACCTCAACTTTGATTATATGCTCAGTGTGATACCTGGTCTGTGTTGCGTTAGCTAATCTAGTTAAAGCAAAGGGAGGAAAACCCACAACTGAAATAAGTCCTTCATCCCATGTTGGGGGAAAATAAAATCAGCTAATCAACCCTGGCCTTATTCTTGTGACCCCTCGATTGTATGACAGTCACTGCCAACTACGTAAGCTTTTCCCTGTTTGTAAACACAAAGCAATGATAGTATTTACGATCAAAATACCACGCGTAGTAGAACGACCAACAACTTGCATTTATATAGTGCCCTTGATGTGGGGTAACGTCCCGGAGAAACACCCTTCCGACCAGAAATAGCAGCAGCACAAAAAATCAGAGACAAAAAGAGGAAGGAGAACTGCCTTGTGAAAAATATCCCCAGTGTGGATAGGGAGAAAGTAAGCACTTAAATACAGGGAAGAGAAATTATTTTCCTTATACTAGAACTAACGCTTAAAGCATTGATACACTGTGAAACAATCCAAAACACTTTCCATAAGACTAAACGTTTACTCCTCTCTTCCTCTCCCCTACCCCCCACCCCCAGACAATAAAATCACACTGAAAAAGTGTGGTGATAGAGAAAAAGAAACAAAGAGAGAAAAAGAGAGATGGGAAGATAATAATAATAATAATCGATGGCGATTCATCGAGACATCTCAAAGCGCTTCACAGGATATATTGTAAAGTGGAGTGACTGTGTATTTTGTGATGAAATCAGCTCTCAAACTATACTGAATCAAACTCTCAACGAATAGCTTTTCTTATATATTGTTTTACCCATAAACTATACAAATCAATGCAAAATTTACAGTATATTCTGTGAAGTGCTTTGAGACCTCAACAACAACAACAACAACTTGGATCTATCTATATAGCGCCCTCCACGCCGGACGGCGTCTCAGAGCGCTTCACGGTAACGGATCCCGGGAGCGAGCCGGGGGGGGGAGGGGGAGGGGGGAGGGGAAAGGTGACCAAAGATGCGGTCGAAAAGAAAGGTCTTCAGCAGAGCCCTGAAAGTGGGAAGGGAGGGAGGGAGGGAGCGAGGAGGCGAAGGGAGTGAGGAAGGCAGTTCCAGAGCCTCGGGGGCGCGGTGGCTTGACGGCGCGGCGCATCAACGGTGTGATTGAGGCGCTGTGCCGAACGCGACAACAAAAAACAACAACAACACGTTAGATTCGCGCGGCGCCTTTCGGGTCGCGAGGACGTCCGAAGCCGCTGGACAGTCCGGGGTTCGGTCCCGAGCTGGAGGTCGGGATCAGGAAGGGTAGAGAGGGCGGGAGACGAGGGCAGGAGACTGAAGACGAGCGCTCGAAGGGGAAGGTCTTGAGAAACACAAGGATTATTATTATTATTATTATTATTATTATTATCATCATCGCCGCACAGCTTTCGAAACGGAGCATTCTTTGTCGCAGGAGGACGCGCAGGAGGTGAGAGACGAGAGAAACAGAAAAAAGAAAATCAAGACAAGTCCAGGGTGTGAGCCGCCGGTGCCCCTCTCCCCCTCACACACACACACACACACACATACACACACACCTGCCGCTCCGACACCGACCGGTGCTGACAGCCGAGGCCCCTCACTCCTTCCCGCCCTTTCACAGCTCGACGACAACCCTCACACCCCCAGTGACAGGAGAGTGGGAAGAAGGAGGAAGAGGAGGAGGAGAAAAATAAATGATTCCGTCTCCTCCTCCTCCTCCCGCCCCCTCCGGTAAATAAAGCGGAGTAAAACGCTTCATGTAGTTACCTGTAGTCCTTATAGCGACCCACACATGATGACTGACTGACTTGACAGACTTCCGAGCGCGAGGCGGGGTTTGCCGGGGAGGGGCGGGCGGGGGGGGTGGAAGGAAAACCGTTGGCACGCATGCGCACACGCCTCCGTCCGCGCCCCGCCCACCGCCGCCGCCGCCGCCGCGCGAGCGCCGAGGAAGCGCTCTCCACTCACAGAATTCTTTTCTCGACGCACGCACCGGCACCGGCACGCACGTCAACCGCCTCCTGCTGCCTGCCTGCCTGCGTGAGTGCGTGCGTGCGTGCGTCACCACAGCCCCGCCCTCCTCCTCCACCACCTCCACCGACGTCAACGTCACGGAGCCCGATCGCACCCCGCGCGCAGACGCCGCCGGGGGGGGGGGGGGGAGCAGCTCGGGTTTCTATAGCAACCGACCGATGCGCATTTAAAAAAATTAAGCCACCCGCCCCCCCCAAGCTCCCGCCCACCCGCGCAATGACCGGTAAAATCCCGCCCAATTAGGCGTGAATCCGCCCAACTTTGGGCGCCGCCTTTCCCCCACACCCCCACACACACACACGCGCGCGCGCGCGACAAGGCGTGGTGACGTTTTAGCGCTCTACGTCACGGAAAGTATGTGGTCATCCCGTGTCCATGGCAACGGCGAGGACGCCGCTCTCCTCCCCTGCCCTCCAGCACTGTGAGGGAGTGAGTGAGTGGGTGAGGGAGTGAGTGGGTGAGGGAGTGAGGGAGTGAGGGAGGGAGTGGGTGAGGGAGTGAGGGGTGAGGGAGGGAGTGGGTGGGTGAGGGAGTGAGTGGGTGAGGGGTGAGGGAGTGAGGGAGGGAGTGGGTGAGGGAGGGAGGGAGGGAGGGGCACAGACCACACCTGGAGGAAATAACAACAAGTCACTCCGCGAGCATCGCTTTGATCCATCGCATCCCGTCGCTATGGTTAAGAAGAAGGGCAAAGGAAGGAAGAAAGGGTGAATCTGCTTTTTCTTTGTGCAAAAAAAAAACTGCTGCGTCTCACCCACAAAATACACGGTCACCAACTGCGCCTCTGCAAGCGACGCCTTCCAACGAAAAAAAGCGCTTGGAGACGTCTCGGCCGTCTTACAAGGCGTTGTCTTCCAAACGCGAGGATTATTGTTATTCTTCTGAACAAATATTTATTATTCTTATCGTTATTAAGAATGATAATCGTTTATTACTGTGCGATCCATTGGCCACTCGATCCACGACTGTGTGTGTGTGTGGACGCCGCTGTGCGCCATTGGCTGCTGCGTTTCGCCCACAAAATACGCAGTCAATTCACTTTGCAGTATATTCTGTGAAGCGCTTTGAGACGTCTCGAAGACGTGATGAGGCGTTGTATCAAATTCAGTTATTATTTTTTATTATCCAGCCCTGGTCCATTGCTCAGTCGATTTAGCTGCATTAATGATGTCTGTTTGTTTGTCAAGGGGAAAGGGAAAGAAAGGCAAAAAGCAAGAGCCCAAAGCCAACAGAGAATCAGACGCTGAGAGGGCAAGGGTAAATGCCACATTATGGGAATCGAGGCTGGATGTGACGGAGAAATCCCGAATGGAATACCGGGAAACAGCTCGCATGCTTGCTAGAGCAAATGAGAGCTTAATAAACCAACGAGTCCAAATAGAGAGAGATACCGTGGAGGTGATCTCCTACTTAAAGAAACAGGACATGCAGAAAAACGACCAGGTAATGACCTCCAATGTTTTCCTTCAATTTTTTGTTACCGCTTCTCATGGAATTTTTATGGCGTAGAAGGGGGCCATTCTGCCCATCGCGTCAGCGCTAGCTCACAGAGCAAGGTGTTCCTATTCAATCCCACTGCTCTGCCTTATTGCCCCTTCAAGCCAGTAAAGTGGACATCCTACAGTGCAAATTCTCTCTGTGCACTTCTCAACGGGTGACACTAATAGACAACTCGAACACTGGGACTGGTTGAGCTGCAAATGGACCTGTCAAGTTTTAGCTGGGAAGAGATGAGCCTAGAGCTAGACAACATTAACAACAACTTGCATTTATATAACGCCCCTCACGCAGGGTAGCATCCCAAAGTGCTTGAAAGTGGTGGAGCACGGTGCCGAGCCTGGGGTAAGGGGGAATTGTATCACATATTGAGACAGCTATATCACTGCCAAGCTAATATCCTCAGATTCAGGTTACCCTCTTATTAATTTATTCCCCGCTAAGCATATTTAATTATATTTGCATAATTCCTAGACCTAATGAGAGGTGGTGCATTGGCAGCACCAGTACAATAAGTTTGCAGGTGCTTGAGTTTGAATGCCATCGTGCAGACAGCCATGCACTTCATTACAGCTAAGGGAACAAACGGATGGATTTGAAATGTGTCAGTGGTGTAAGAAGAAAGATGAGTTTTATCAATGGAGTTGAAGGTGTCTATTGCTTTGCAGATCAGTAAACTTCAGCTACAGTTATCTGACCAGAAAAAAGAAGCGCACGAGCAGCATCAAAACATTGTAAGTTACCGAAGTTTTTAACATACGAATTGCTATACGATAAACGATCCATTTAGTTCACTTTCTACCATCCGTGCCATGACCCGCCCTGCCTTCCCCCACCTCTACAACATCACCCGGCTCTGCCACTGACTCACACCGCAGGCCGCCGAAACCCTCATACACGCATTCATAACATCGAAGCTTGACTATGCAAACTTGGCCTCCCCAACTCCTCCCTCCATAGGCTGCAGATCATCCAGAACTCTACTGCCCTTGTCCTCTCCAGCTCTGTGACCTTATCACCCCCATCCTCACCCGACCCCATTGGCTTTCCATCAAACAGAGGATACAGTTAAAGATCCTGGTCCTCACCTTCAAAGCCCTCCATGGCCTTGCTCTCCCCTACCTCTGCAACCTCCTAACCCCCTACAAATGCTGCCCGCTCCCTCCGCTCAATGGGCTCCGGCCTGCTTCACGTCCCCTGCCTCACTTGCCCCACCATTTGCGGGCGGACTTTCTGCCACTCTGTCCCTTTTGGTACTCCATTCCACAGTCCCTCCACCTCGTCCCCTCCCTTGTCTCCTTCAAGACCCATCTCAAGATCCTCCTCTTCGACTGTGCTTTCGATCACCCTGCTTCCCCCCCCTGCCCTCCACCCTCCCTCATCCTGACCCCCAGGTTGGATCTGAAACACGGACTGCCCAGCGCTTTGAGACGTCCTCTCGACGTGAAAGGCACTGTACAAATGTAATTTTCGTTGTTGTTGTTGTTGTGGTGGCCGCATGTTAATACTGAGGATAATAATGGAGATGTTAAAAACAATTCATTCTGTGTTGAACAGAGTGGAAAGCTTTGGAAACCTTTGCCTGGTTCTTTCAAGCATCCTACCCTTACTATATGTCACGTTTCAAATTACTCATATACATTACTGTATCCCAAAATATTATGTTCTAAGATCATTGTGATACCAATAATCGTTGCATTTGACGCAGCTCCTTTCACAATTGGGAGTACATCTCAAAGCGATCCACAGTAAACTGTAGTGACTGTGTGTGTAGGCAAATGCTGAGAATTACAGGCGTATCTCTTGGGCAAATGCTCCCAGCAAATACTCCAGAGTGTTCCTGTTATTCAAAAGTTGTAGGATGTTTCCAAACACATTGTAACAACACTCCTTAAATAAGGAATGGAATGTGTTTAGGAATACAATTTTAATAATAATCCTTGCATTTGATATAATGACTTTGAGATGTCTCAAAGCGCTTCACAGACAAAGTGAATTCACTGTGTATTTTGCGAGCGAAAATTTCAACCCATTCATCACCAGAACCCCGCATTGCAGCTATAGATACTCGGGCCCCCTCTTCTCCCTTCAGTTTTCTTATGAGATATTTTCCTCTTTAATCTCAGATTGAAAACTACACGGGGCAAATCAATGAACTGGAAGAAAAGGTGTCCAAAAAGGCGAACGAAATCCAGCTGATTCAAGGGGAGCTGAACAGGGTCAAGGAGTTCAGGAGGAAACAGATCTACATGAAGAAAGAACTAGATGCAGTGAGTTCACTCTGGGTCTCCTGTTAACAACAACAACTTGCATTTATATAGCCCCCTTCACGCAGAGTAGCGTCCCAGAGCACTTGACAGTGGCAGAGCATGACGCCGAGCCGGGGGGGAGTGGGGGCCGGGGGAGATGATCTTAGGCACAGTCAAAGCGGAAGGTTCCTCAGACGTGACCTGAAGATGGGGAAGCAGGGGGCAAGGCGGATGGATAGAGGGAGAGGGTTGCAGAGTTTCGGGGTGTAGTGGCTGAAAGCCCAGCCATCAATGGTGGAACGGAGGCCACGAGAGACAAGCAGGAGGCTGGACCAGTCCACTTGTCCAGGTGAGTGAGGGCTACGTATGCGAGAGACAGTTTGTGCAACTAAATAAATGAATAATGGCAGCTATCAGAGCAACAACCTACATAAAATAGATCAGTTGGAACTAATTTAGACTTGAAAACAACACAGCCTAAATAAATCGATCATTTCACTTCCACCATTGCATGGGATGTCTTCAGGAAATGCCTTTCAGCAACAATGGGATATGTGGGGGGGAAGCGAGGGGGTTGGGAGGTGATGGGGAGAGAGAGGGGGAGACATGAGAATAATCCTGTTTTTTAAACACCAGATAAAGGATACAATGAGCACAACTATCAAGGAGCACACCGACACACTGAGATTAATGGAAGGGAGATTTTTTGAAGAGAAGGTATGTGAAACAGCCATGAGGTTCATCTAGAATGCATTGCAGTTATAAATGTTTATATGCATGTGTGTGTGTGTGTTGAATGAATTCTGATGTAAAATAATAATAATAATCCTTCCATTTGATATAGCGCCTCATCACGTCTTCGAGGTGTCTCAAAGCGCTTCACAGAATATACTGTAAAATGAATTGGAGGGATTATTATTATTTTCATTTATTTATTGATTTATTTTTGAAGGGATGATCTGCTAATCGAATAACAACCAGGTTCCCACATACTGCTAGGTAAACAGAGGCGCGTGGAGCAAGGAAACTTGCCTAAGGTTTCACCCTCGCCCGAAATTGAACCCGGGTCCCTTCACTTGCGAGGCGAGCACGTGAACCACTACACTACAGGACTCATAAGGCATTACTAATGAGAAGTTCTACCTGATTGAGTTGAACAGTTTGTGTAACCATCCGTATTGCTTCATTGGTTTTCAGGTTCGTCTGGAGAAAGAGGCAGAACAGAAATTAGTTCAGCTGACAGAACAAGCGCACACTGAAGCGATTGTGTAAGTGTTTGGGCCTTTGGGAGGAGAAGCCTTGAAGAGCTTGGGCACTCTGTCCCATGAAAGAGAGAACATGAGAAATATAGGAGTAATATAGGAATAAGCCATTCAGCCCCTCAAGCCTGTTCCCCCATTCTAAAAGATCATGGGTTATCTGTATCTCAAGTCCAGTTACCTGCCCTTTCCCCGTATCCCTTAATACCCTGATCTAACTAGGGTTAGTGTTCATCAAATATGGTCATCAAATATCTATCCACCTCAGTCTTGAAGATGTGAATGGATCCATCATCTACAGCCTTTTGAGGGAGAGTTCCAGATTTCCACTACCCTTTGGGTCAAAAACTGCCTCCTGATTTCACTCCTTAATTGGCCTTGATGCCCCCTTGTTCTGGATTCTCCTACCAGAGGAAATAGTTTCTCAGTATCTACCCTATCAAATCTGTTTATTATTTTAAAAATGAGAAGATGAGAAAGGGCATGTCTCGTACTCAAGATCTCAAAGAACATCGATAGACTGAACTTAATGCGTTTAACACAGGCCAAGCAATAAAAGGGGAACAAACTCGATCTCAAGTACTTGGGGGAACAGGGAGTACTTTATATACTACTACTTTATATAGAGAGTGATGTAGCAACACTTACAGGAGAGGAGGGCATGGGATAGGATACTAGGGAAGAAAACTTGGTGAGAACATTTTTTTTGGAAGCAGTGTTGGTGTCACACCAAAGCTGTCTAATTATGAGTTGATTCAGTAGTGTTAAGAACCTTTTCCAATTCCTAATTCCGCAGGAATCTCGAGAACAAGACTCGTTGTGTCTTTAAGGAAAACGTGAGGCTAACCGGGACAGTGAAGGTCTACATCAAAGAGGCTGAATATCTGAAGAAAATTAACCAGCATCTGAAAGACCAAAACATGCAGCTCTTCAGTCAAAAGGTGTTGTATGTTGGAGGCTTTGACGGTGCTCATGGTCCTTCTCCCTGCTCCCCCCTTACCCCTTCCCTCTTTGCTCAGTATCCCCATATCAACCAAAATGATACAAGGACTTAAAGGGTTAAATTACACAGACTAGTTGGACTGTATTCCCTTGAGTTTAGAAGGTTCAGGGCTGATCTGATTGAGGTGTTTAAAATTATAAAGGGATTCGATAGAGTTGCTGCAGAGAAACTATTTCCTCTGGTGGTGGAGGAATCCCAGAACATCATCTTAAAATTAGAGCTGGGCCATTTAATTTAGGAGTGAAATCAGGAAGCGCTTTTTAACGCAAAGACTAGTGGACATCTGGAGCTTTCTCCCCCAAAAGGCTGTGGATGCTGGATCGAATACATTTTCAAGACTGAGGTGGATGGATATTTGTTAGGTCAGGGTATTTAGATTGGTAAATGGACTTGAGGTACAGATCAGCTATGATCTAATAGACTGGCGGAACAGTCTTGAGGGCCTGAATGGCCAACTTATGTTTCTAACTATGCAAAAGACATTTTACTGTGCAAATTCAACGCAGCAAATGACAAGCATTTACTATCATTCGGACTTAAGACCCCCAGCATGTGTGTTTCTTTTCAGGAAACCAGTGAGGTTTTGGTGAAAGAAAAACTGCTGGAAGTGAAACAACTGAAGGACCAGATCCAACAGCTTCAGAAGAACATGCAGAACCTGGAGAAAGCCCTGGGCCACATGGCCAGGGAATTCGAGACAGCAAAATGGAACGTCCAGCATCAATCCCAGATCAAAACACAGACCAACCAGGTGGAGATCACCAGACTGGAGACAGTCATCAAAATGAAGGACAAGGAGATGAATAGGGTGAAGACGCTGGCCAGGAGCATCCTGGACCAGCGCACTGACGTAGAGATATTCTTCTTGGAGTCTCTGGAAGAAGTAAAGAAGAAAATTATCTGCAGCCGGCTTCACTACAAGAAAGCAGCCGAGATCGCCTTTAACAAAAAGATGAAGAAAGCCTACGAGGGCAAGGAGGAGTACCCCAAAATCAGGACCTTTTCTAAAGACCATCACAGCACAAACAACGTGTATCAGGATATGGAAGAAGCTGAAAAATGGTAGGTCGTTGTTGTTGAATTTGCTCTGAATATTCATTGTCCTTTTGTGTATCCTCGTGGTTAGAGTTAGAGTTATTACAGGTGTGTTTACCGATGTTCCTTCCTGGATGCCTAGATCAACTAGGCTCATCAGCCTTGCAAAGGAACATTTCTAATATTATATAGAAATATACAAGATGCTGAGTCAGATTCAGAACCTAAATCCCAGAACAATACTTTCAGGTACATCACGTCCGGAGGACAATGATAATAAGAGGAGTCCTGTAGCTCAGTGGTTAGAGCACTCCCCTTGCAAGCGAGACACCTGGGTTCAATTCCCGGCAGGGTGAAACCTTGGGCAAGTTTCCTTACTCCACACAGAGCCTGATAATAATCCCTCCAAAACAAAACACAATAATAAATTGGTCATTTTCAATCCACGACTGTTTGTGGGACATTGCTGTGCGCAATTGGCTGCCGCGTTCGCCCACAAATATACGGTCAATTCACTTTACAATATATTCTGTGAAGCGCTTTGAGATGTCGAGAAGACGTGAAAAGCGCTATATCAAATGCAACGATCATCCTTGCATTTGATAGAGCGCTATTCACATCGTTGGGAAGTCCCAAAGCATTTCACAGAATATATCAACTGGATTGACTGTATATTTTGTGGGCGAAACATGGCAGCCAATTGCACACAGCAGCGTCCCACAAACAGTCGTGTAATCTGAAGTAAAAATAATATAAATATAAAATATATAATATAAATATTACAGAAGTATAAAATGTAAAGTGATTTAGAAATAAGAGCGCATGAAACAGAGTGTGGTGTGCAAACCCAGAGTGCTTGTGTTTCAGGATTAACATCAAGGGTAACAAAATAGATATCGGTGACCTGACTTGGGAGCAGAAGGAGAAAGTTCTACGCCTGTTGTTTGCAAGGATGAATCGTTTGGCAGGAAACATGTAAGTCTGAATACAAAGTGATGGTCTTTCAGTACAGCAACAACAAGAAGTTGTATTTACACAGCACCCCTCACTCATGATAGCGCCTCAGAGCGCTTATAACAATGCAATTCAACCTCTGACAATATGTGCGAGTTATAAAGGTCAGTACAAGGGATGGAGGGAGAAGCGAATAGAAGGATATGGGAGCGAGTGGAGACTTGTGTGCAGTTACAACACCAGCATGGACTGATTGGGCAGAATGGCCTGTTTCCATGCTGTACAATCTATACAAGACACGTCAATTTTTCCAAGATATTTCATGAATTATTTCTGAATCTGTTTGATCACATCTTTCTTCGTAACTCCAGCCAACAACCAAAACAAATTACATTTGTATAGTGCCTTTCACGTTGGGAGGATGTCTCAAAGCGCTGGACAGTCAAGGATTTGCTCCGAGCAACTTTCATTTTCGCATGGGGTAGCATCTGGGTGCGTGTAGACCTTTAAGTTATTGATCTCATCAGTCTGCTGAGATGATCTGTCATTTTTAAAACAGTTCCAACAAAATATTTCACGCATTTAGAAATCAGGGTTTCTGTAGCACATTTGTTATTTTGAGTGCTCGGAGTTCCTATTTATTCATGACAATAGCAATTATTATCATCAAGTTTAACAGTTTTGCCAGAACCATAATCTGGTTTTGTTACATCTCGGGAATAGGGTCATAGTCTGGATTTGCTACACACTGTGGATGAGTTGATACACACACACGCGCACACATACACACATTTACGTATAATTTATGTATCTTCTGCATAGCAAAAATGATGCTGGAGCTCTGGATGTCCCAGCTAAAACGCTGGGGTTTTGTAAGAAAATTGGTAGTACTGCATGCTATGATCCATAAATTACAATCTATATAATTATAATAATTATATAGATTGAAGGTGGAGGGCAGGGAGGGGACATGGAGCAAGCCAGAGTCCACCGAGCAGAGGGAGCCAGTATCTCTAGTGGCGAGAGGGCATGGGTTCGATTCCAGTCAGGGCAAAACTTTGGGCAAGTTTCCTTACTCCACGTCTCTGTTTACTTAGCAGTAAAGTAGGAACCCAGTTGTTAAGTCGATTGGCAGATCGCCTTTCCGAGGGTATTACTCCCTTCTCAAAAACTACTAATAATGTTAATTTGGTCACTTAATCCATGACTGTTTGTGGGACGCTGCTGTGCGCAATTGGCTTCTGCTTTTCGCCCACAAAACATAGTCAATTCACGTTACAGTATATGCTGTGAAGTGCTTTGAGATGTCCAGAAGACGTGATAAGACGTTACATCAAATGCGAAGATTATAATGGGATTTATAATTATAATGTTTTGTGGCTCAATGACGGCCTTTTCCGTGACTCCTTCCTGTTTCATGTCAGAATCCGCAAGGAAAGGCTCACAGTTTCCTTTCCTTTACAGAAACGAAAATGCCTCGTTTCAGAAAGTCTTTATCACAGAGGCTCCTGACACAGAAGTACCAACCGATGGATGCATGTTCCCGAGTATTCCATCAGCAAAACAGATGACAGACGAGACGGCAGCCTCGTAAACGCACCAGCACGACACACCGCACCACACCACAACGGCACCGTCGGAGAAAATCATGACAAGTCGTGCTATATTTTTTTTTAAAAAGAAAAAAAAAGTATAAAAGCAATCTTAGGAACAAAATACTGTTCCGTGGGATTTTTTTTTTAATATATGCCTGGAGTGCTAAGAGTTTCAAAGCTGAAAATTATTTAAGAGAAAGTAATTCTATTGTCCTGAATTTACTACCCACCCATCCCTCCCCCATCACACCGGTTCTAGCCAGGCTCCACTGGCTCCCTATCGCCGTACGGATCGATTTCAAGATCCTCGCACTCGTTTTCAAATCCCTTCATGTCCTGACACCCCCGTTCCTCTCCCCTCACCCCCCCAACCCCAAAACCAGCTGCCTCCCTCCGCTCGACTGGCTCCGGCCTCCTGCATGTCCTTGCGCCATCCGTTCCACCGTTGGTGGCTGCGCTTTTAGCCACTAAGCCCCGAAATTCAAGATCTTCATCCTCACCTACAAGGCCATTCATGGCCTTGCTCCCTCCTACCTCTCCGACCTACTATCCCCCTACTTACCTGCCCGTACCCTCCGTTCCTCTGGCTCCGGTCTGCTCCACACCCCCGCCCCAACCGCCCTACCATCGGTGGCCGGGCCTTCAGCCTCTCAGCCCCGAGGCTCTGGAACTCCATCCCCCAGTGCCTTCGCCGCTTCCTCCCTTTCTTCCTTCAAGGCCGGTCTCAAGACCTTTCTCTTTGACTGTGCCTTCAGCTCCCCTCTCGACTCTCTACCCCCTCCTCGCTCCCTCCCTTCCCTCCCCTCACCCTAACCATTTCCCCCCAATGCTCGGGTCCTGACCCAACTGTCCAGCGCCTTGGGACGTCCTCCCGACGTGAAAGGCGCTCTACAAATGGAATTTTGTTGTTGAAACCCTGGAACACTTCCAGAAACACTGCCCCATCTTCAGGGTCGCACCTGAAGACCTTTCTTTTCAACTGTGTCTGTGGTCATCTCCCCCTCTGGCTCGACGTCGTTCTGCCATTGTCAAGCGCTCTGGGACGCTGCCCTGTACGAGAGATGTGATATAAATGCAAGTTGTTGTTGCATTGCACAGAATTTCAGCCCAGACCATAAGCTCAATATTCCATCCAGGACGTGAACCCTTAAAAAGGGTAGGAAAGCGAACTAGAGACAGGCCGGCAAGAGAAAAAACCTAGTGAGGTCCAAGGTTTGTCTTTGATTACAAAGTTCAGTGTTGGGAGGGCTTCCCAAACCACTCAACAAAACTATCAATTGATTTCTGATTGTTTTCTCTCCCTGCATTGAATACAGTTGAATTCGAGGTGACTTTTAACCTCGAGCATTTGCAGACACAAGATGGTTTTGTCGACTCGTTGTGTTTCGGTGCGTGTCAAACAGTGAGGAAAGACCATTTTAGAAAGAAATTTTAATTTGTTCGCTTTAATTTGCAGCTGCAGTGTTCTACGTGGTTGAAACAGGTACACCGTGGTGTCCGAGTTACACAGAGCAAAATAGGTTTCGTGTATTACCAAGCGATACATTATTTTGTTTTAGTCGAAACTGGGGGAAAAGGAATATGTTATAACATCGTTACGTACAAGCTCATCACCCGCAGATCAAAGTAGCTTTAAGTGCCTCAGTCAGTCAGTCAGTCACGCTGAACAGTCAAATGTCGGTTACGTGGAGACGACGAGTGCTCTCAATTCCCTTTCAGATCATGACAACTGTATCATATACATGTTTACACACACACCGCGCGCGCACACACACACACACACACACGGTGATGACAAAGGCTCGCTTGGTGCGCTTTTTATTAATAGCAGCGGTCTGTAAATCTTTTGTCTTGTGTCTTGGACACACATCATGACTGGGGATACCAATAAACTCCACAGTTTAGGATTGAAGCGCCAAGTAGTGAAGTAGTGCATTTTGTTACCAGTTTCATTGTTGATACACAAACCCAGACACCGATCGTGACTCTCAGAAGGAGATGGAGTTGGAGCAAACTGAATAGCATCTCCACGTGAGCCCAGAGTCTGAGACAAGAGAAAAAACTCACTGGGGAAATTAGCTTAGTCCAGAAAAGAGGAACAATAAGGAAAGTAATAATAATCCTTGAATTTGATACAGTGCCTGTCACATCATGATGACATCTCAAAGCTCTTCCCAGGATTTACTGAAAAGTGTAGTGACTGTGTACTCTGTAGGTGAAAGCGTACATTTGAGTGCATATATTGGGATTTAAGGGTTATTAAATAGTGTTACCAATTACAATTTATACAAATTGCGTTTATATAGTGCCTTTCAGGTCGGGAGGACGTCCCAAGATACTTTATAAGAACAAACCTGTTTATTAAGGTGTAGTTGTCAATGCTGTGAAACTAATATAGAAAATAATAGTTTGGTCACTCAATTCACGACTGTCTGTGTGACGCTGCTGTGCGCAACTGGCTGCTGAATATCGCCCACAAAATACAGTCAATTCACTTTGCAGTATATTCCCTCAACAACGTGATAAAGCGCTGTAACAAATTCAAGGATTATTATTATTATTATTATTATTGCAAGGCTCAATCTCGAACCGAACAGATCAATGAACTGCGACAAATCAAAGTTCTTTGCCTGGGCCCAGGTCTCTCGCCCACGGTGCTCCCTCCAAAACCAGGTCTGGGCGGACTTTAAACACTATTATTGTTTTGTACATGATTAAATCATTGTCCGTCTTCATCTCAGGTCAAATCTAAAACAAATCACCACCGGGGGGTGGGGGTTGTGAGTCTAGCGTCCCATGGTTGGCATGACAACCGCAGGACTCGTTAAAGTGGAGTCTTCTTCCTTCCACTGGGATGTGACAGTCTTCACTTGAGTGTAGAAGTAAATGCCCTGAGGAGGGGAGACAAGTTTTCGAAGAAAGCAATTTATAATAATCCGTGCATTTGATAATACAATAAAATATTACATTTACACACTTCCTTTCACGTCGGGAGGACATCCCAAGCCCCTGGACAGTCAGGGATTTGGACCCGAGCAGGGGGCAGGGGTTGAGGTAAGGGAGGGTGGAGGGCAGGGAGGGTGGCTGAAGGCACGGTGGAAGAGGACGGTCTTGAGATGTTCCTTGAAGGAGGCAAGGGAGGGAGGGAGGGAGTGAGGCGAAGGGAATGTGGGATGGAGTTCCAAAGGGTGGGGGTGGAGAGGCTGAAGGCCCGACCACCGATGGTGGGACAGGGGAGGCCGGGCAGGAGTCGTGGAGCAGGCCGGAGCCTAAGCGGATGGAGCGGACAGGTTGATAAGGAGTTAGCAGGTCTCAGAGATAGGGAGGGGGCAAGGCCGTGGAGAGCATTGAAGGCGAGGACGATGATTTTTAACTCTATCCTCTGGGGCATTGGGAACCAGTGGAGCCGGGCGAGTGTGAGGGTGATGGGGTCATGGAGCCTAGTGAGGGAGAGAACACAAGCTGCAGAGTTCTGGAAGATCTGCAGCTTGTGGAGGGATGAGTTGGGGAGGCCAACAAGCAGCGAGTTGGCGTAGTCGAGACTAGATGTGATGAATGCGTGGATGTGGGTTTCGGTGGCCTGAGGTGTGAGACAGTGTCGGAGCCGGGCAATGTTGCGGAGGTGGGGGAAGGCAGAGCGGTCATGGCACAGATGTAGGGTAGAAAGGACAGTTGAAGGTCAAACACGACGCCAAGGTTCCGGACTGGCTTAGAAAGGTGGAGTGTGCAACCATGGATGGTGATGCTGCCATGGCTTAAGGCCAGACAGACATTCTGTCAGGACAGCAGTGGGTCCTGGAGTTGAGGGTGGAGACGGAGAGATAGAGTTGGGTGTTATCTGCGTACATGTGGAAGTTGACCCCATGTCTGCGGATGATGTCACCAAGAGGGAGCATGTACATGTTGAAGAGGAGGGGACCTACGAATTAGTTGGGGTTCCATTAATACTTTACCGCGAAGATGTTACCACAAACACACACGTACCTGCTTGCCATAGAAGTTAGTGTCTCCTCTGAAGGAACCTCTGGATCCAGTGAATGAAAACATGGGCAGTGGGACAGGAATGGGCACATTCACGCCAACCTGAGGAGCAATGGTAAATAGTAATTACCCTCTGGACTCTCTCTCCCTCTCTCTTGAAAGATGCTTCGTCACATTCAAGGATTATTATTGTTATTATTGTATTACCAAAGTCGGCAAAAGAGCTTCTCTCTCTCTCTCTTACACTCAACGGGGACAGGATGCGAGTTGAGTGTAATGAGGCACCACAGCTTGCAATTCCCACCACCTTAACTCAACAAAGACTGGGATTGAATCGGATTTGCAGCCTTTGCAAATATCCCTAACAATACATTCACGATTGCTTTATATTCATTATAATCCTTGCCTTATCTCGTCGTCGAGACGTCTCAAAGCGCCTCACAGGACATACTGTAAAGTGGATTGACTGTGTTTTTTGTGGGTGCAACGCAGCAGTCAATTGTGCACAGCAGCGTCCCCACAAACAGAGTGAGTGAGCGAGCAATTTTTTTTGTAACCCCCCCCCACACCCAAATTCTTCACATCTGTCCAGCTGCTGTCACTGACCTGGCCCACGTCAACCTGGTGGGTGTACTTGCGGGCGGTGGCACCGTTAGTGGTGAAGATGGCAGTGCCGTTCCCGTACGGGTTCTTGTTAATCATGTCAATGGCATCGTCGAGTGTTTCTGCTTCCAGCACCAACAGCACCGGCCCAAAGATCTCCTCCGTGTAGCACTTCATGTCAGGCTGTGTGTGAGCGAGAGAGAGTGTGAGTGTGTGTGTGTGAGTGAGTGTGAGAGAGAGTGTGAGCGAGGGAGAAACAGAGCGAGAGTGTGAGGGGGGGGTTTGAGCAAGGGAGAGCGCGAAAGAATGAGTGTGAGAATGTGTGAGACACACAGTGTGTGAGAAAGATTGTGTGTGGGTGAAAGAGAAATACAGAATGTCTGTGAGATATATAGAGGGGATGTGAGAGCGAGTGAGTGTGTATGAGTGTGAGAATGAGTGTGTATGTGAGTGAGAGAGAATGTGTGTGTGTGAGAGGTGTGTGTGAGAGCATGTGTGTGAGAGAAACAGTGAGCGTGTGTGGGTGCGAGAGTGCGTGCGTATGTGAGAGTGTGAGAATGTACGTGTATGTGTGTGTGAGAGTGCGCGGGTGTGAGTGTGTGAACGAGAGCTTGTGAGAATGCATGTGTTTGTGAGTGTGTGTGAGTGCATGCACGAGAGTGTGAGAATGCGTGGGTGTGTGTGTGCGTGAGATAGAGTGTGTGTGTGTGAATAATCATGTAACTTATCTTTCTCTCCTCCCCCCACCACCCCTCCCCTCCCCACCCATCGCAGTGGCGTGTGGCCCAGCAGATCTAGCCTGACCTACCCTGACGCCGGACAGGATGGTGGGGCCGACAAAGTTGCCGTTTTCGTAGCCTTTCACCTGGACATTCCTCCCGTCCAGTAACAGGGTGGCCCCCTGCTCCACCCCGCTCTGCACCAGCTCGCACACCCGAGCCTTGGCTTTGGGGGAGATGAGGGGCCCGATATCTGACCCAGCCTGGTCACCTGCGTGCGCGTGGGTGTGTGTGTGTGTGGGGGGGGGGGGGTGGAAAGAGAGAGAGAATAGAGTCAACATAATTACAGAGAAACTCACAATAAGACTGATCTGTACATATAATCGCCCAAGTCGTTGAATTTCCTATTACTTATGAGTTTCACATAACTATATATTATATATGTCGTATTAAATGTATGGTCCCAACTGATACCACTCATGTGAGACTTGCCACTCGAACTCACCTCTCTCCCACTCCCTCCCTTCTCTCTCCCCCCTCCCTCCTCTCTCCCCCCTCTCCCACTCCCTCCCTTCTCTCTCCCCCCCCCTCTCTTCTCTCTCCCCCTCTCTTCTCTCTCTCCCTCCCCCTCTTCTCTCTCCCCCCGTCTTCTCCCTCTCTCTCTCTCTCCCCCCCTCTCTCTCCCCACCCACCCCGTCTTTTCTCTCTCTCCCCTCCTCTCTTCTCTCTCCCCACCTCTCTTCTCTCTCCCCCCCTCTCTTCTCTCTCCCCCCACCACCCCTTCCCTCCGACCCACCCACCTCTCACTTACTCACTCCCTCCCCTCTCTATTATCTAATTCCTTTACCCCCCCCACCAACCTGATCCTTATCACTTGTTGGGGGGGCGGGGGAGACAGCAGGGAAGTGGGGGGGGGGGTTGAACATCGACCAGGTTCTAACCTGCGGTGACCTTGAGTTTATTTGCTCTCTCCACTAGTTGTGGGAGCCATTTCTTGGCCTCTCCCACCAGCACAGCAGTGGAGAGAGCCATGCAGCGCTGCCCGGCTGCACCAAATGCTGCCCCCACCAGCTGGTTCAGGGTGTTCTCCTTGTTGGCATCGGGCATCACCACTCCGTGGTTCTTTGCACCCTGCGATGAGTGACACAGTGACAAGTGACACGGTGGCCACGCTTTCAGCCACTACGCCCCGAATCTCTGGAACACTCTTCCTCTATCCCTGCGCCTTCCCCCCCCATTCCTTCCCCATCTTCAGGCCGCACCTGAAGACCTTCCTCTTTGACCGTGCCTACGGTCACCTCCCACTCCCCTCGACGTCGTGCTCCACCACTGTCACGCGCTCTGGGACGCTGTGCTGCGTGAGGGCTGCTGTTGTTGGGTAGCTCTTTCAAAGAATGGCATCAGGCACAAACGCAGCAGTCAATTGCGCACAGCAGCTTCCCACAAACAGTCGTGGATTGAGTGACCAAATTATTATTATTATTTTTGGTGGGAGGGATCATTATCCCCGGAAAGCGATCCTCCAATCGGCTAACAACTGGGTTCCTACTTACTGCTAGGTAAACAGAGGTGTGTGGAATAAGGAAAGTGGCCTAAGGTTTTGCCCGGGTTGCTTGCTTACTCGTTTTGCTTGCGAGTCGAGCATGCTAACCAGTACGCTACAGGACTCCATGATAATTTACATAGAATTACATAGAGTTTTCGGAGTTTACATAGTGGGATATGGTGGGATATTCGGCCCAACCAGCCTGTGCCGACTTTATCCTCCACCCAGCCATATCCCTCCATTCCCATCTCCACCTGTACACGAGATCACAGTTGAGACGTTTAAACATGTGTGAGGGGAGCAACATTCCCTCAGGACGATGGCTGGAAAGGACTCACCATGTTAGACTGCACCCTCTTGCCATTTTGGGAGCCTCTGGTGTAGATATACTCTCCCGCCTGGTTGGACCCCACAAAGCTGATGGCCTTGATGAAAGGGTGGTCGCAGATGAAGTTCACAGCTAACTCAATATGTGAAGAAAATGACACATTATTCCATGGGACTGCCGGGTTTAGCATGAGGAAACTGCAATAAGCTGGGACATTGCTGTGCACTTTGAGTTTCAAAACCTGTGCAAACAAATCGTCTGTTTGACTGCGTCTTCGGCCACATGCTGCTGACCGTTATCTCCCACCCTCCGCTGTCTACCCCACTCTGTTACTCGTTTAGCTGCCAGACTGGCTCAGCTGGCAACACTCTCATCTCAGAGTCAGCGCGCTGTGTCAAGACCTTGAACTCACACGGTCGAGGTTGAGACTGGAATGCAGTGCTGGCGGGGAGCTCCGCATTGTCGGAAGTGCCAACAATGATCCCATGGCACCGCTCGAAAAGAGAAGGGAGTTTTCTCACCAACAATCTTCTGGCCAACAATCCCCCAAGTAAAATTGGTCATTCACTTCACGACTGATCGTGGGACCTTGATTTAACGTCTCATCCGAAGGATGGCACCTCCGACAATACAACCCCCACCCACCCAGTACTGCACTGGAGCATCAGCTTGGACTTAATGATTCGAAGTCCAGGCGTGGGGCTTAAACCCACAAATTCTGACTCAGAGGCGAAGGTGCTACCGACTGAGCCAGTCTGATACACAGATTCAAATGTGGGTGTGTGTGCATGTCTTCATTTATGCACTTCAGTGGCAGAACTAGGAATGGAAATTGGTGGGCAGCAACTTGTGGTAGATGGGCAAATACACACCCACACACATACACAGTGTTACACTAGGCTGGGCTGACACACACACTGAGCTGGACTAACGCACACAAACACCGAGCTGGACTGACGCACACAAACACTGAGCCCGGCTGACGTACGCGTGCGCGCGCACTCGCACGCGCACACACACACACACTGAGCTGGTCGGGGGTTTGAGGTGGGGTCCGCACACTGACCTTGGTGCTCCCCGTGGATAACATTGATGGTTCCGTCCGGGATGCCTGCGTCCTGCAGCAGCTTGACCAGCAGCATAGCGGCCCCTGGCACCCGCTCTGAAGGCTTGAGGAGGTAGGTGTTGCCACACACCATGGCCATGGGGAACATCCAGAGTGGGATCATGGCTGGGAAGTTGAAGGGAGTGATGCCAGCGCAGACTCCCAGGGGCAGCCGGTACGTGTAGGTGTCCATATCCTTGGTGATGGACGGCAGCGTCTCGCCCATCATCAGGGAGGTTACGCTGCAGGAATGCTCCACAACCTCTGCATTAAAGAGCAAAGAGAGTCACTGATCACAGACATCCAGCAACAACAACTCACATTAATAATAACTGCATTTGCCTTCGATAGAGCAACTTATCACGTCATTCAGACGTCTCAAAGCGCTTCACAGAGTATACTGTTAAGTGAATTGACTGTATGTTTTGTGGGCAAAAAGTAGCAGCCAATTGCGCACAGCAGCATCCCACAAACAAGTCGTGACCAAATACTTTTTTTTTTAAAAAAGGGATTAGTATCCCCAGAAAAGCGATCCACCAATCGACTAACAACCAGGTTCCTACTTACTGCTATCACCTAACAGAAGCGTGTGGAGTAAGGAAACTTGCCTAAGGTTTCGCCCTGTCGACAATCAAACCCATGTCCTCTCACTTGCAAGGCAAGTGCTCTAACCACAAAGCTATAGGACTAAAATTTGCATTTAACGTATCAAACGTGAGGATAATTATTATAGAGAAATGAGCTTGTGACTCACGCAGGCCTCTGAAAACATCTCCCTCAGCATCTGCCAGGGTCTTGCCTTGCTCCAGTGTAATGATTTTGGCGATTTCTTTCTGTGGATTTAAAGAAGAGATAATAATAATAATAATATTTAATAATAATAATTTATTATTCTTTGCATTTGATACATTAATAATAATAATAATCCTTGCATTTGATATAGTGCTTTTCACGTCTTTTAGACGTTCTAAAGTGCTTCACAGAATATACTGTAAAGTGAATTGACTGTATATTTGTGGGCGAACGCGGCAGCCAATTGCGCACAGCAGCGTCCCACAAACAGTCGTAGATTGAAAATGACCAATTTATTATTGTTTTTTTTTTGGAAGGATTATTATTAGGCTCTGTGTGGAGTAAGGAAACTTGCCCAAGGTTTCACCCTGTCTGGAATTGAACTCAGGTCTCTCACTTGCAAAGCGAGTGCTCTAACCACTGAGCTACAGGACTCCACTCTGACAAGGAGAAGTTTATTTTTTTAAAAATTATTTGGGTGAATTTTGTGGATTGTGTGACCAAATTATTAGATCGAATATGTTCCACTAGGGAAAGAGGATTGACACCGCAGACAATCTCCGTCCTCCCAAACTCTTCTAGGCCCAAATTGTCAAGGGACAATGCGGACCTCAACCACAACATCACGACTAGTTGCCACTCCCTCCCTTCCCTACCCTCACCCTGACCATTTCCCCCTTGCTCGGGTCCTGACCCAACTGTCCAGCGCTTTGGGACGTCCTCCCGACGTGAAAGGCGCTCTATAAATGAAATCTTGTTGTTGTTGTTGATGATCGATGACCTCTCTAGCAGGGCAAGCCCAGCCTCTGACCAGGTGCTCAAGCGAGCTCTGTCTGTGTTCCGGTGACTCCTCTTCCTGTGCGTGAGGGCAGATCATTCCTCGGGTCACCCTGAAACTTTCTACCCGAGCAAAACCTGCGCCTGAGCAGCCTGGCTCACCATGTTGTCTTTGATCAGCTGTTGGTACTTTAAGAAGATTTGCTGACGACTCAGTATGGAGGTGTCCGACCAAGCTGCGAATGCCCTCTGGCTGCTGTTCACAGCCGCCGTCATCTCCTCATGGGTGGCCTTGGGCACTTTGGTGATGACCTCGTTGGTGGCCTGGAAACATTAACACAGAACAAAGTGGTTGAGCCAGACAATAACAACTTATATCATATAATAACATTTCTTGCCTTTGATAAAGGTCCTCATCACGTCTGTGAGATTTCTCAAAAGAGCTTCACAGGATTTACTGTAACGTGAACTGACTTGTGTATTTTGTGAGCGAAAGCGATCCATCAATCGACTAACAACTGGGCTCCTACTTACTGCTCGGCAAACTGAAGCGCGTGGAGTAAGGAGTAAGAGAACTTGCCTAAGGTTTCGCCCCAACCCCCCACCCACCCCGGGAATCGAACCTGGATCCTCTCACTTGTGAGGCGAGCGTGTTGACCACTACACAATTGGCTGCCACATTTACGTCCACAAAATACAGTCAATCCACTTTACAGTATCTTCTGTGAAGTGCTTTGAGACGTCTCAAAGACATGATAAAGGGCAAGGGTTATTATTAGTATTTATTATTGTTACTCTAATATTACTCCACGATTTGCCAGTCAACTCCCGAAAAAGATACTCACAGGGTTGTGAACATCAATCCACTCAGACGTCTTTGAATCAATAAACTTCCCATCGATAAATAATTTGGTTGTCGGCTGTGAATCGAAAAACAACAGAATAAAATGCTTTTGGGTTAGAGGATTAAAATTTAATTCTCCCCCACCACCCCCTCCGGTTATTTCGATCTCACTCCTAAAGATCCTAGCTTAAAATTTTAAGATCAGAGAGAAGATTTGCCCACTATCTACCTTCGTAATTCCCTTCGTTATTTTCAATACCTCAATCAGATCATCCTTTTGTGTCAGATGAAATGGGGAGTAGGGGGAGGGGGCCGTCAGTTGGGACCACTCTGCCATGGAACGTTACAGCACAAAAACGACTCGCTAAAAACTTCCAAGTGTGTTTTTTTTTCCTTCTTATGAGGAACCCAGTTTCACTCTCCTCTCTTGTTTGCTCCTCACATTCCCTTTAAGATTCCTTTTATTGAGCAACTTTTATTTTTGGTCAGTTGGATGGATGTCAGACACACCGCCGTGCTTAAAGGTATCCAAACCAAACTGAGAGCTCTGTTTGTAACATGGACTTGCATTTATACACCCCCCCCCCACACACAGGGTAGCGTCCCAGAGCGCTTGACAGTGGTTGAGGTGAATAGGAAGGTCTTCAGACACGACATGAAGGTGGGGAAGGGGCAAGGTGGAGGGATGGAGGAAGAGTCTTATATGTATTCAACTTACACATGGAGATTGTCTGGAACGGAATGCGTTCCCCCCCACCACCCCACTCCCACCCGGAGGGACCCACAATGCTTTCCTAATTCCTGAGAGTATTAATAATAAAAATAATAATGCTTTGAAACACAGAAAAGCCATCTGTGTCTATTCCCCTGGAAGGAGGCGAGCAGAGTGACAATTACAGTGTTCCCAGCTCTCTCTGAAAGTGACTTCAGTCTTCACGTCTCCTGTATTACAGAAAGGTTTGGCACCATTTTTGGTAACATTGAGCACCAATTTTCTACCCGTTTTCTCTCCGTCACTCCGAGGTGACGCTAAACGGCAGCAACTGCCCGGTGAGCTCGGCCAGTCTTACCACGGATGTTGAATAGCACAGACGTCCAGCGGGAGGAAAGGTCTGCAACAAGAAAAGGGTCAAAGATTACCCCTGACACTTCCCAGTAACCTTCAGCCTCTCTGCCCCCACCCTCTGGAACTCCATCCTGCAGTCCCTCCGCCTCGCCCCCTCCCTTGCCTCCCTCAAGGCCCGTCTCAAGACCATCTTCTTCGAGCGTGCCTTCGGGCATCCTCCTACCCCTACCCTCCCCGCCCTCCAGATGCCAACCACCAGCTCGGGTGCGGATCCTTGACTGTCGACTGTCCAGCCATATCAAATGGCTCAAAACGCTTCAGATAATTGTTATCAACGATTTTGTAGTCAGACACAGCAGTCAATAGCGCACAGCATTGTCCCACAACCAGCCCTGAAATGAGTGACCAATTTATCCGGAGAATTCTTTTCGAGTTAAATTAACTTGAACTCAAAATTAAATTAACTTGAACTCAAAGTCCTGACCTGGGGCTAATTTGGAATAAGTGAATGTTTTATTTCTTGAGCAAAAGTGAATCCTCTTCTTGAACTATCACATCATAGGCTGATAAGCAATAAATATATTACCAAGTACGGCGAAGGTCGAAGATAAATCTTTGGATACTTTCTTGTTCTAATGGGTGTAGCGAGTTCTTCCAATCAGAACAGCCATTTCTCTGAAAACTCCCCCAGCAAACTCCCCAAGTTTAACGTTTATACCTTAACGGTCTTCACATCAAAGAAAGTCTGGTAACGCTTCACAGGAGGAGGTTAATTAGAAGCAACTGAATATGGTTACGACGACAACTTGCATTTATATAGCGACCTGGGCGACCTCCTGAAGTGAAAGGCGTTATACAAATGCAATTTGCTGCTGTTGTTATAGCGTCCTTCATGGGCACGGCGCTCAAAACTTTTGGCCGCCGAGTGCCGCCGGATGTCCCATTTGAGAAACGTCCCACAAAAGCAACATTTTCACACTTCCCTTCTAGAAACATAACATTTAGAAACAGGATGAGGCCATTCAGCCCCTTGAGCCTGTTCCGCCATTCAATAAGATCAAGGCTGATCTGCACCTCAACTCCAATCCCTCGCCGTTGCCCCGTATCCCTCAATACCCTGACCTAACAAATATCTATCCACCTCAGTCTTGAAGATGTGATTGGATCCGGCATTCACAGACATTTGGGGGAGAGAGTTCCACTAGCGTTTCGGTGGAAAACCGCCACTTGATTTCACTCCTAAATAGCCAAGCTCCAACTTTAAAATGATGCTCCCTATTGCTAATTGGAGGAAATCTAGGTAAGATACTCCCAGCAGCTAACAGTAAAATTCTCCTTCTTGCGGAGGTCAAATTACACTGTGCAATAATAACCTGATACAGTAGACGTTGCCCAGGCTTCGAAGTCACTGTGTATTCAAAAAAAAATTAGGAACTGAATCATTCGAAGGATTCAAACATCATAAAAACAGACTCCTCCTCCCCCCATCAGTTAATCTAAAAAAAAATAACCTCCACACTTAACATTTGGGAGCAAGATCCACAAAAATGCTAATCGCTAAATAATTCTGAGGGCACAGATCAAAAGGGTGATTCTTGCCGTCTGAACCAATTGGAGGACAGAGGTGTGGAAACCACCCACTGCAGCCGACCTACACAGTGTTTGACAGCCTCGACAAGGAGGACAGCACAAGCTCCTTGTGCCAATACTCGACACGATAATAATCCTTGCTTTTGACGCTGGGCCTTTGCACGTCATTGAGACGTCTCAAAGTACTTCACAGGATACACTGTAAAGTGGTTTGACTGTGTGTATATATACACGTGCAATCCCCGGAACAAGACACAGGGTTAAAAGAATCTGCAGACGTTAAACGTTAATAAATAATAATCATTTGCTCACTCAATCCACGGCGGTTTGTAGGACGTTCTGCGTGCAATTGGCTGCCCCATTTCGCCCACAAAGTGCACGGTCAATTCACTTTACAGTATATTTTGTGAAGCGCTTTGAGACGTCTCAACGACATGATGAGGCGCTACATCAACTGCAAGGATTAATATTATTACTTCACAGCTCTCGGACAGATTTCTTAGGTTCCCGCAATCTAAATCCGATAAAAAAAACTTTCAACGCTTTGCAAACGAACGAGCGTCCCATCTCCCTCAAGGAACCAAGATTCAGTACGGCCAAACGATTAAAGTTTGGGAGGAAAGGGGAGGAGGAGGAGGAGAAGAAGGAGGAGAGTTGCAAACCTGTTGACATCTTAAAAAGGTTTCTTTTGCTATTGTCCAAACAGGGACGACTGAAGAAACCAGAGCAGGTTTGGAACTTGCGGTTACACTGTATCTTGACTCCTCGGCAGCAATAACTTGCATTTATTTATACAGTGCCATCTTGGAGCCCTTAACCTCAGTCCTCGCTGCCCACGTGATATTGCTGAGTTTAAAAATTTGACGCGCTTACGATCAGCTGCTCCCTTCCCCTCCCACCACCACCAACCGCCCCCCCCCTCCCACCGGCTCGGAGTCAGGGGTCCGCCACTGCTGAACTCTCCCGAGACCCTGCCCGGTCGGTGTGCAGGAGGGGGGGGGGGGGGGGGGGCCGCTGCGCAAATGCAAGTTGTCGTCGCCGCCGTACCGCGAAGGTCAAAGATAAATCGCTTTGGACGCGATATTTGTCGCCGCTCTGACTCGGGAGCGAAGAGGAGAGGTTCTTCCCGGTTGGATCAGAGACTATTATTACTTGGTACCGTTTGCTGAGAACATTAACATCAATCCCACTCCCCCCCCACACTCCCCCCACCCCCTCCCCCCCCAACTCACCACCATCCCTCCCCCCACTCACCCCCCAACTCACCACCACCCCCTCCCCCCACTCACCCCCAACTCACCACCACCCCTCCCCCACTCACCCCCCAACTCACCACCACCCCCTCCCCCCCCAACTCACCACCACCCCCTCCCCCCAACTCACCCCCTCCCCCCAACTCACCCCCCTCCCCCCAACTCACCCCCTCCCCCCAACTCACCCCCCCCCCCACCTCACCCCCTCCCCCACTCACCTCTCAACTCACCACCACCCCCTCCCCCCACTCACCCCCCAACTCCCCCCACCCCCTCCCCCCACTCACCCCCCAACTCACCACCACCCCCTCCCCCCACTCACCCCCCCAACTCACCCCCACCCCCCACTCCCCCCACTCACCCCCCACTCCCCCCCCACCCCCTCCCCCACTCACCCCCCACCACCACTTGCATTTGCAAACCAAACTTTGGCATTTGATGAGTTGGGGGGTTTGTGCATCTCTACCACTTGTCAGTTAGACTGTGTCTGTTTACCTTGCACTTGAGAGCTGTTCTGAGGAGCGCTGCCATGTTACAGTGAGGACACACACACACACACACACACAGAGACCAGACCCCACTCTGCCACAAGACCACAACACCCTCCCCACAATCCCCGCCCCCTCCTCCTCCGCGGCGCTGATTGGCGCATCCCGCAACACCGACGAGGCTTTCCATTGGTCCAGCGGGATGCCCCTTCGGCTAATGGTCATTTTCGGCGTCAATCATCACCTCGCTGGATTTTTTTTTTATTGGTCAGTTTACCCGTCGATCACTTTCTCCGCGTCCCATTGGCCCGTCCGCAAGAGGGGCACGTGTCACGCCCGCCTGCAAGCCCCGCCTTCCTTCCCACCCTCTCCGCGCTGATTGGCGCGCAACACCCGCCTACCGATCGGATACGCACCCGTCGCACGCACGCCCAAGCATTCCATTGGTTTGCCTGGGTGTCAATCAACCATGACTGGGCAGGCTCTGCACTGATTGGCTCCGCTGGCAGGTTAGTGGGGGAGAGAGAAGGAGGGCGGTTCCGTCGGATCGTTCGGATTGGTCGGGGAGGACGTCAATCATTGCCATCGCGTCCGCCTCTCTCTCCCGCTCCATCTCCGAGAGGCTCCAGATCCGGGGCTGAGGCGCCGGGTCTCGCGAGACCCCCCTCCCCCTCCCCTCTGACGGGCCGCCGCCGCCGCCGTCGTCGTCGTTGTCGTCGTCGTCATCTCCATCGAGAGAACTACATCAGAACACAAACGCCCTCTCCATCCCGTCAGGTTGACGTCCGACTTGTTATTTGACGCATAAAAAAAATATAATTCCCGAGGAGGAGGAGAGAGAGAGAAAGAGAGAAAGAAAGAAAGAGCGAAAGAGCGCGAGCGGTGGCGGTTGTTGTGGTGGTGGTGGTGACGGGCGGAGGAGGCGGCGGCGGCGGCGGTGACAAGATGGCGTCGCCGACTGCGGGTAAAAGTTTCTGTCAACTGCCACCGCCGGGTGTCGGGCAGAGGAGGGAGGGAGGGAGGGAATGGGGAGAGAAGTCACTCCGCCGCCGCCGCCGCCGCCTTTCCCGTGACTTTACGCTGCGATGTTTTGGCTCCGGCCGCGCGGGTCTCGCTGGGTCGCTGGTTCTGTCGGTTGCCACAGCAACCGTCGCCCTCCTCCCTCCCGCCCGCCCGCCCTCAGGCCCCGTCCACCCGCCCTCAGGCCCCGTCCAGTTCCTGCTCACAGCCGTCTTCTTCTTTCTCGCCCCGTTCTTTCTCCTTTCAAAACAAAAAGTGGGCAGAGAGAGAGGGAGCGGCAACGGGCAATGTTTTTGAGTGCTCCGAGACGCTACCCGAGCAATACGGAGGAACCCGGTTGTTAGTCGGTACGCGGATCGCTTTCTGGGGGTAATAATCCCTCTCTCCCTCCCCCACCCCCCCCCCCCCCACCCCTCTCTCCCCCCCCCCCACCCCTCTCTCCCTCCCCCCCACCCACCCCCTTCTCCCCCCCACCCACCCTCTCTCCCTCCCCCCACCCCCTCTCTCCCTACCCCCACCCACCCCCTTCTCCCCCCCCACCCCTCTCTCCCTCCCCCCCACCCCCTCTCTCCCTCCCCCCACCCCCCCTCTCCCTCCCCCCCACCCCCTCTCCCTCCCCCATCCCCTCTCTCTCCCCCCCCCACACCCTCTCTCCCCCCCACCCCCTCCCCCCTTCTCTCTCCCTCCCCCCTCTCTCCCCCCCCTCCTCTCTCCCCCCCCACCCACCCCCTCTCTCCCTCCCCCCCAAAAAATGGTCGCTCAATCCACAGCTGTTTGCGGGACACTGCTGTGCGCAATTGGCTGCCGCGTTTTGCCCACAAAGTTCAGTCGGTTCACTTTATGGTATGTTCTGTGAAGCTCTTTGAGCTGCCTCTCAATGATGTGATGAAGCGCTATATCAAGTGCACGGATTTTTATCATTCCCTGGTGTGAAGGGCACTGTATTGCTGTGGTTGCCTCCGGAATGTCGCCAAACTACGGCACTACCTCACCCCTCACGCGGCTGAAACTCTGGTCCACGCCTTTATCACCTCAAGGCTGGACTATGGGAACTCTCTCCTCGCCGGCCTTCCCGGCCCTCCCTCCACACTGCAGGTCATTCAGAACTCTGCAGCTCGTGTACTGTCCCGCACCAGACACCGCGACCACATCACTCCCACCCTCGCCCTCGCTCGCCTCCACTGGCTCCCCATCCCCCAGAGGATCGATTTCAAAATCCTCATCCTCACCTACAAGACCATTCACGGCCTTGCTCCCTCCTACCTCTCCAACCTACTATCCCCCTACCTACCTGCCCGTACCCTCCGTTCCTCTGGCTCCGGTCTGCTCCACATCCCCCGCCCCAACCGCCCTACTATCGGTGGCCGGGCCTTCAGCCTCTCAGCCCCGAGGCTCTGGAACTCTATCCCCAGTGCCTTCGCCGCTTCCTCCCTTTCCTCCTTCAAGGCCGGTCTCAAGACCTTTCTCTTTGACCGAGCCTTCAGCTCCCCTCTCGACTCTCTACCCCCTCCTCGCTCCCTCCCTTCCCTCCCCTCACCCTGACCATTTCCCCCCAATGCTCGGGTCCTGACCCAACTGTACAGCACCTTGGGACGTCCTCCCGACGTGAAAGGCGCTCAATAAATGGAATCTTGTTGTTGTGTATTTGCACCTAGATGTGGGATGGTAAATGATTTAGGTCGAGGTATCTGTCGATTGCTCTACTGGCTCCTTCCTGGGGATGTTTATGTTGTGCTGTCAAAACAACTGCATGATTCCTTACGTTTGATACAGCTCCTTTCATATTGGGAAGACATCTCCAAGTGCTTCACAGGATATGCTGTAAACTAGTGACTATTTTGTAGAGATATGTCATTTTCAATACAGTTATAGGATTTTCTAAAGATCTCAAGTGTGAGAGTATTGCAACACTTTTTTTTCACATGAATCCAATATTGGATTCCTAAAAATTAGATTTGGGATTCTGATAGGATTCAGTACTTTCCCAGTCTTTGAGTTAACAGTGGGTTTTGAACTCGTCGTTCAATGTTATTCTTGCTTTGGAGCCAAGGTTAAGAATTTATTCTGAACGATCAATATATTTGCAAAGCATGTTAGAAACATCAAGGGCTAGAAATATATCTGTCATCAAAATGGATTTTAAATATAACTGGTATTCTATCCTTCCATTTATTTTCTATTTCCATGCCAACAGGTGCCGATTTGGAGCAGTCTTTGCTGAGCTTTGAGAAGCTAGATCGAGCATCACCAGATCTTTGGCCAGAACAAAGTAAGATTCTTTTTGTAGTCTGAAATATGTAAATCCTTTTGGGATGTTTGTAGCTTCAAATTCAGCCCACCAGGGAATGAACCTGAGTACTTGACATGGTTGGGGTTGGATGCCAGGCAAGGGGTAAGGGAGAGGTGAGCATAGGTAAGGTTGAAGAAATAGTTTTTGAAGTGGGCTTTGAAGACTGATAGAGAGGAGATGAAATTGAGGGATAGATGTTGGGAGTTCCAGAGGTTTGGGGCATAGTGCTGAAGGAAGAAACTGTATAGAATTGAAGAGTTGCAGGGAAGGTATGTGGACTATTCCTTCCGTAATGAAATGTGCCTATCTTTTGGTATAAATCATAAAATATTGTAATACAAAAGTCATGTTATTGATGGTGGAAAAGACTGTCTTTTTGGGGTCCCAAATTCTTTTCCAAAATAAATCTGGATTGAAAATCTCAACAAATAACTACAATAAGTTGTAAACAATAAAACGCTTCCGGCCATATTTTTCACCAAGTCTTTACCATTTTGTTTTATAAATCTAACATCATGCAGTAAATTCTTGTAGAAAGTTCTTACTTTTAATTTGGAAGCCAGTTTCTTTCAGTTCATAAAAAGAACCAGTTTCCTGCTACAGTACTAACATTGCTTACTGTGATAAGTACAGTTCTACATATTAACTAAATATATATATTTGCTAAAAGATATTTTATTCTTATTTTCTCTTTCAGTGCCTGGTGTTGCTGAATTTGCAGCATCTTTTAAAAGTGTAAGTATCTAATTATTTATATTAATAGTTATTAATACTATAGTTATTGTTATTAATCTCCCCATTTCTTGCCCGACTCCATTGGCTCCCTATCCTTCAGGGGATCCAGTTCCTGGTCCTCACCTACAAAGCCCTCCATGGCCTCGCCCCACCCTAGCTCTGCGACCTCCTAACCCCCTACCCAACCCACCCACTCCTTCCGCTCAGCCGACTCTGGCCTGCTCCACTCGCCCCACCATTGGCGGGAGAGCCTTCAGCCCCTCTGCCCCCAACTTCTGGAATTCCACCCCCCAATCACTCTGCCTCGCCCCCTCCTTAGCCTCCTTCAAGTCCCGTCTCAAGACCCTCCTCTTCGACCATGACGTCAAGTCCCACCTCAAGACCCTCCTCTTCGACCATCCCCCTTACCCTCCCTTCTTCCCCCCCCTGTCTCGAGCTCGGGTCTGAAATGCTGTACAATGTCCAGCGCCTTGGGACGTCCTCCTGATGTGAAAGGCGCTATACAAATGTAATCTTGTTGTGTTGTTGCAATACCATGAATTAGAAATAGTGTCTTATCATATTTCAAAGCACTTCACAGAAGTTGGTAACTATGTTTTTGTAGGTGAAAACAGCAGCTAATTTGCACACAGCAAGTCTCCGTGAAATGAATACACTTTCTTTTAAAAAGAAATCTGTGAGATTCTTTACGTGGACACGAGTACGTTTGATATTTATCCCATCAAATGTTCCACTAAATTAACCCTATTCCCTCCCTGTTACGTTTTTAAGCTTTCTTAAAAATTGTATTGTCTGGGTTAGTGCTGGTTATGAATCCCAGTTCCATAAGTGGAAATGCAATGTGCCAGTATACTCCCTCAAACAAACTGCTTTAATTTTACAATAGATGAGTACGTTCTGTGAAGTGATTTTGCAAACTCACGCTCACTTGCATTTTCTTTTTGTAGCCTATTACCAGCTCTCCTCCAAAGTGGATGGCAGAACTAGAGAAAGATGACATTGACATGCTGAAAGGTATTTAATGTCTTTTTAAGATACATTTTTATATTTCCTCCCTTTTCTACGCTGTCCTCTCCTGAAACTGTTATGACTCAATTTTCCTTCAGCAGAAGTCTATTACCCTTGGGTAACTTGATGATTTTTGCTGGCAGGGCATGACAAACCTATACAAACGTTTGCTCTGAGTTGTGTGCTACGCGATCAAGTTGGAGGTATTATTGAGATTGTGTCCACTGTAAAATATAGGCAACGACCATCTTCTATATTGTATGTTCCAGTAATAATAATAATCCTTGCATTTGATATAGCGCCTTATCACATCTTTGAGACGTCTCAAAGCGCTTCACAGAATATGCTGTAAAGTGAATCGGCTGTATATAATGTGGCCGAAACGCGGCAGCCATTTACGCTACAGCAGTGTCCCACAAACAGTCGTGCATTGAATGACTAAATGTTGCTGTTTGTTTCAGAGCTGGGAAGTCTAACTACAGCTAACTTAATGGAGAAGGTCAGAGGTTTACAGAATCTTGCCTACCAATTAGGACTGGATGAATGTGAGTGTCATTTTTTTCTCCCTTTAGAAATCTTTCTATGTAGTTAGAGCTTTAGAGCCCGAAATGCAGCTAGTCTTAACCTGTAAAGCCATGTTATAATAATATTAATCCTTGCATTTGATATAGCGCCTTATCACGTCTCCAAGACGTCTCAAAGCACTTCACAGAATATACTGTGCATTGAATTCACTGTATATTTTGTGGATGAAATTATAATAATAAATTATTATTAATAATGTTGCTTCAATTTGATACAGCAGTTATAATGTCAAGAAAGGTTCAGACCACTTCACAAAATTTCTGTAAAATGACTATATATTTGTAGACAAAAGCAGCAAACATGTCTAGAAAATATTTCTGCATTTTCTATTTGCCAGATTTGATTAGGATTATGTTTTCTGTAATTGATGCATAATAATAATCCTTGCATTTGATATAGAGCTTTTCACGTCTTCTAGGCCTTATCACATCTCATATATATATATGAGATATAGATATAGATATAGCACCTTATCACATCTTCTAGATGGCCCAAAGGGCTTTATAGCATATATTGTAAAGTGAATTGACTATATTTTGTGGGTGAAGTGCAGCAGATAATAAAGGCGCAATTACCAATTTAAGTTTGTGATGTAATCAACTTTAGCAGAACTAAATCTCTTTTGGATTACAGAGAAGGTATAGATTGAATAATAAGAGAATTATTTTGCAGTTTGAACACTTGATGATAGGAAGTTAGTGACTATTATCTATTCTATTTTAGTTTCGTGCACTTTAAAAGTTTGTTAACTGAAGTATCACTTGGTAACAGTTGACTGCTGCAGAATCATAATTTTGCCACATGATGGCACCACTGTCTTGAATTTATAGCACAGTTCTGGAACGTCCATTGGAGACGTACATTGGTAGCCTTTACCCATTAAGCCGTCAGAGAGCAGCTTCAAACAATAACAGCTCTTGGAATCATCAAAAACATTTCGAAACGTTTTTGAATGCTGAACAATGATGTGTTTTGCCCTAACAACAGACCTTAACCACTGATTAAAACATTCCCGTTTCCCCACACCATCTTGTACCCTTCTGAGGGAGATTGGCAATTGGTGCTGAATTATAAGCAGTTTTAAGCTGTGGGCTCTTGACACTTTGGGGAATTGTGATGAGAACTTCCCCCAAACTAATTTCACTTATGATCCTTACAAGATGCAGAGAGGGAAGATTTTTTTCTGTCTGTTTGAACTGGATTCATACCTTGGTTGCAGAGGTGAAAACGAGAGTATGGTAACTCATTGTATTCCAGTTTCCAACTGATTATTTTAGAGACTTCGCTGTTTAAATTGATCTTGTACCCAATACAAAATTACATTTGAATAGTGTCCTTCACTTTGGGAGGATGTCCCAAGGCACGGGAGGGTTGGGGTAAGGTAGGGGGGTGGCATTGCAAGGGGCCTGTAACTTTTTCATCCCCGGGAAAGTTAGGTGAAAGAGAAGCACCTACAGAGAGAGAATTAGAACAAGTAGAAAAGCATATTCCACTTGTCCTGTGGTTACTTTACAAGGACTGGGAATCGACGGAAATTTAGCAGTCCCTGGAACTGATTTTGCAAAGCCCTCGGAAATTGTGTTGCAATACTCCGTTTCTGCCACGAGATGGTGCTTTACATAGGTCATTGGTAAAAGTCAAATGCATGACAGCAGGCCATGATGTGGTGGACATGTGGGCGTCATTCGAGCTCAGGGCTGTCAGAGTGGAAGATTAGTGCTGCAATTATAAGCGTCAGTTGCCAAAATTTGCTCAAATATTTCAGCAGTGGCTCACTGTCTTCCAGTACTTACTGAACATCAATTTGGGTTTCCTGTTAGTTCTTTCTTGTTAGCCAAGATATTTTTGACAACAGCAAAGTGTTGGATCAGCATATTCGCTGAAAAAGTATCTCCTGTATTGTCACTTTATTGCTGAATCCAGGAGTGTGTTCTATGGTTTATTCACTATTCCTATCAGATTGGGTACATAGAAAGAAAGGGGGAAAATAATCTGTATTTTTATAGTGCCTCATCATGTTGAATCGTCTCAAACGACACTTCACAGGAAATTATTGTCAAGTGTAATGACTGTTTCTTTTGTAGTCAAACCCAACAGTCATTTAGACGAGTAATGTCCTACAATCAGCCAAGAAGTGGATGACTGCTTCATCTGGAGGATTGTTGGCCAGGATACCAGGAGAAACATGACCTTGTGTGTGATCATATTCAAAGATCAGCAGCTCCGACAATGCTGAGTTCATAGTCTTGATTGTGAGTTTGAACCCACCACTGTGCAATGTGGACATGTGTCTTTAGTTTATATTAAACCGAACTCTAAGTAGAGAGATATTTTCTTAATGAATGCTTGAGTGGAATTCTCTGCCATAAACCGTAGTGTGAAATAAAGTTCGATTAGATGGCTCATGTGGAGGTGAACACCAGCACTTGACAAACTGAATGGCTTGTTTGTGTGTGGTCACATTCAATATTGAGCACATTTTATGGCAAATTTAATCTCTGTCAAGTGCATCTGTCAGATCAGCACACCCTTTGAATTACCCAAACAAGGTACCATTATAGTAACTACCTTCTCTGTTTCCCCAACCAGTCATTTTTACAACCTCGCTGAATGGGATTTCCAATTTGAGTCTGATTATTAACTCCTCCGGAAACCAGTGATCAAAGCTGGCCAAATTCATTTCAATTTTGACCCTCAAAAACCGTCAGAGTGAAAAGACATTTGTCAGTGCTGGACTCAAATTCAGGTCCCACAGATGAAAGAACAATGTTCTATCAAACTGTGCCACTGGATCCTATGATCCATCAAACATAATTTTGTCATCAATATTCCCAAGCATCAAAGGCATATTTAAATATAGTGAAATACTGTACGTGGCACATCTGTTATCTGTTTTAAATATCACATGTTGAATACTGTAAAGCTGGGAGTGAAAGTAAATCTCAATCCTGCTTTTGGGGAAAGTTGCTGAGTGAAGAATGTTACTTGTTCACAGGGAGAGAAAACTGGGCTATTCTCACACACATTTCTAGCAGTGGGTTTAAGTAGGTCATTTACTGATATCTAGGATCAGACCATGTTAATTCACCTGCTCCAAGGTATACTCATTGATGATTAATAAATACAGAAAGGTTAACCATAAGTAACTGCCTCGTGAAATGTGAGGTGTTGAACTTGTGCCTATCTATACATTTAAGATCTTTATTGAGATAGTTAATGAAAGGTTGTTTATTTTGTTCTGTGCTGATGGCATGAATGGACCCTCCATTGGCTGTATGGTAGAGAGGAGCTTCTGTAAGGCTGGAGTTTGGAAAATCTCATTGTAATATAAATCCAAGAAAAATGCAAACGGAGAAATGAGCCAATGGATCGGACTGTTTGTCTAATTCCGCTGATAGTATTTGCATTAATTTGCAATTTACACAAAGTGAAGCCTATATTTGAGGAAGAAATGGTGGTCCCAGGCTCACGGAAGCAATGGAAATAACCCTCCCTCTTCATCTGTTGATTCCAAGCTCTTTTTGCCTGAGGGTAGAGAGTAAAATAGGCCTGCAGAAGGGAGTCGTACTTTCCAACCTTGGGTACTAAACATGCATCACCCACTGGAATTTACAGAGAATTAAGTTGTTTTATTTTCCTAAAAAGTTTTTTCAACCCGATTGAGCTGAAATGTTGATTTGAACTCTTGTTAGTCATTGCATCCAAGTAGCTGAGCTATTTAGGCTTTTATAAAGCCTCATGAACAGAGAGCCGTACAAGCAGATGGAGGTGAGCATTTCGCCACCAAATTCTTACAGATGTCACTTAAAAAAAAAAGACGAAGGCAGTTACTTAGGTTATTAGCTCAGATTTGCACTTGACTGGATATTAAGCAAGCGGCAAGCGTGCCGAGAGCCCATCTAAGTGACGCTGATTAAAAGACTAGTGTCCCCTGCGCCAGTGCAGCTGCCGTGCCGCCGGTGGCTTCTGCCACTCGAAACACAAATAATTGCATGAATCCCCAGTGGGATTGATGGGTTTCAGTGAACACGTGGCACATCTGTTACGCTCTGTCTAATGAATTGTTCTGCAGCAAGGGGCTGCAGCTTGTCATCACAGCTTCTGGTCCCTCAAGGATCTCTCTGCTTGTTTTCCAACTAATGTTATTTATAGTAATTGAATTCAGATTAGCCTCCTGGGACTGGCAGTCCATTGATAGTTAAACACTTGTTGATTTTTTTTAAAGCTTCATTCTGTGGGTCTGTGGGTAGGGGCAGGGAGTGGTGGTTGTAAGAATAAAGTGACATGGTTGGCAAGTGTGCCTAAGGGATGAGCAATGTTATTTGTGGATCCTTTTGATCTGGAGAACTTAATTTTTTTTAAAAATTGAAGCTTTCGATCAGATTGAATGTTTAGATCATAATTGCAGCCTTCATTTGAGATCCAAAGGTCTGTGTTAGTGATGGATGTTACCACCCATTTATTATTAATAATGTTGTAAAATGATACTTTCCCTCGCCTCATGTGAAAGATTGGGAATCTCTGATATGCTGAATTTTTAAAAAAAGTTATAGTTAAGCATCAGAGGATACTTTAATAAAATAGTCTACCACGCAGGCTTGATTAAAGTAGCATCACGATAGCAACAGCTGCAAATCCTCTTTTTGGTTGAAATGAAAATGTCATATCTGGAGATGTTCGGGGCAAACGAGGCATTATTAAACTGCATGAAATGGATTCCGTTCAAATGGAGAGGCAGAACTAAAGTTTAAGCGTAGTTAGCGTTGCATCAGGCACAATAAGAGCACTTGAAGCACACATTAGTGCCAATGAAAGGACTCACTAAGCACCTAATGAGCAGCCTCCAACCCGTCTGCTTTATGTTGAGCTGTCGAGATTTGATGCTACACAACACTCCTGTCCATCTGTACACGTGAAGCTCTGTAACAAGCGCTGACAATGGGCCTGAATGCTTCACCCA